GCTACTCCAAGGTCATACGAGGTCTTCAGTGAAAAAGAGGGAGAGAAAAGGAGAAATCGCAGGCATCTTCAGTTGCTGCCAGAAAAGGTTCCAGGAATTACTATGAAGACTGGGGAGAGTTCAGAACAGTCACCACAGAACGTTCAACTTCGTGTGGACTCTGATTTACCTGCAGAGAACATTGTAAGGAAACCTAACATCACTAGATCAGGTAGAGTAAGAAAGCCTGCGGAGCGGCTGAACCTATAGAAAAAGAAAAAGAAGACAAAAGAAAAGAGTATAGACATACTGTCAGTAACAAATTACTTTATTGAGTTATGTGACCAGACTTGGTAAAAACTTAATGTAAAATGAACATTCGTGAATGTGAGGTGGGACAGCAATGGCAAAGTAATGTTACGAAAGTGTGTCCAGCTGAATTCAATTTGAGTTTTGTTAAACTAATTAAAAAGAAGCTTAGTTTACCGTGGAAGCGGTCGCGGCTGCGGTTGTGTGAAGACCGAAGAGTGTAAAGACCATCGACTCTACCGTGCGACTCCACCGGAAAAGCGTCTGCTAAATGACTAAAAGTAAAAGTAAAGTAAAGTAATGTTGTGTTTGATTTGAAAGAAAAAAATTTTTTTTTAGTTTGAAATGTGTTAATTAAATAGTCGATGTGTTGGGTAAGTTAATGGGATATATATATAACCTTAAGTATTAGACTTAAAGGGGAAGGTGTCAGGGTATTGTAATACCTATGAGATGCGTGATACTATATCCAGCCCACTAGGGTGACTCAAGGAGTGCTGTATGGGCAAGTCACAAACGGAGAGAATCGGTCTGTGTTCTGAATCTGGATGTAAGTTGCTGTTTCAAGTTGTTCTTCAATAAAGTGGCCTCAAAAGACCACTGCCTCCTGGTAAATGCTTACAAGACAGACGGATGTACTGTTACTTCCTCTACAGTCAAAAATCTGGGTGTTATATTAGATAGCAACTTGTCTTTTGAAAATCATATTTCCCATGTTACAAAAACAGCATTCTTCCATCTTAGAAACATTGCCAAGTTACGAAACAAACAACCTGTTTCTGATGCAGAAAAGCTAGTTCATGCATTCATGACATCTAGACTGGACTATTGTAATGCACTCCTAGGTGGTTGGCTATACAAATAAACTTGAATTGAATTGAATTGAATTGCTTTGTGTTTCTTACTATGCTGGCCTTAGTGAGCTAGTCGGTTCTGGTGAATAAAAGATCACGATTTACCATCTGTCCTGCTGCGGAGGACATCACCAGCCCCGCACAGGATCCAGAGCCCAGCCAGCCATCATCCCGCTGCACTGAGCATTTGCTAGAGCCCATCGAAGACAGAGAGCCCGAGCCTGCTGTGATACACAAGCCAGCAGACGCGACTGAGCCTGCCATTGCCCCTGAGCCTGACCAGGTGTGTGAGCCAGCAACATCGTCCATCACTGTGGGAGACCTTGTGGCGTATGAGGGTATGGAAAGGAGACCCGCCCACACTCCCGCCACTGAGGGTGAGCTGCTGTTGGCCTCTGAGCTATCTTTTAATATTCTGGAAGAGGATGATCCCCTGTTTCTCCCATCCCCACTGGGTCTCCCCAGCTCCTGTTCTCCTGTGTCTCCACTGGTTCTGCCCAGTTCAGAATCTCCTGCGTCTCTGCTGGTTCTTCCCAGCCCAGTATTTCCTGTGTTTCTGGTGTTCTGACCCAGCCCTCCTCTCCCATCTCCTTTTCTAAAATCAGCCTGTTCCTCAGCCCCATCTCCACTGGCAAATGAGCACCAAGGTAGAGCCAGAGGAAAGGAGGAGCCCAACAGAGCTAGAGGAATGGAGGGATAAGGCACACATGTGCTATTTATTTAAATACTTAGCAGATTTCTAAAGACAAAAAGTGTACACTTCATCAGTCATGATCTATTATACTAATATTGTGGCTCACGCACATTCAGATGACATGTACGCTAGTGCATGCCTCGAATGCAGTTGAATGTGTTGCCTTTCAAAGTATACTCCATTTGATGGAGTGTGCAAAACGCAGGTGGTCAACACACACGCACACTCGAGAAAGCTTCATCTTTATCCAGTGTCTGTTCTATTTTTCTCCCAAAGTTATGACAGATAAAAATGTATTTGTACTTTTCTTAACTAAAGTTTGTCAATGCAGGCATCTGTTGTTGTTGCAATATCCGCTATTTTGTTGTTGTTCCATCTTTTTAGTTTCGTTTTCTACTGTGAAACATAGGGCCAGGCCAGTGTTGCCACCTTGTGGAACAACTGATTAGTGCAGAACAAATTCAATGTGCATGTGTGATGTGCATTGTTCAATGTGCACGTACAAAGTATGCACGATTACAAATATAGGATGGTGCTATTCTGGTGAAAAAAATTGTGTCACGCACTGTATGTGGACCCTCCATTAAAGTCCATTGTAGTCTGTAGTCCATCAGAGCCAGTGCAAGGGGGGGGTTTCGGGTGGGAAGCAATCGCATGCATTCGCTCACTCACTAAAGTGTATGCAATGCAAACTGTTTTTTTCACTTACGAAATGTTCACGTTCAGTGGGGAGAGAAGGAGGAGGGCACAGTAACTCTTCTAGAGGGTCAAGGCCTGCGAATGCCTCCCCTTGGCGCCGGCTCTGTACTCCATTATACGTCCTTGTGTAGTAGATTGAAAATGCCAATTGATTAAGAAACACCCATTTTGCTTCTGCATGTGCACTTCTCAGTAGTCTAATTGATGCTTCCTCATGAATGAGAAAACAGGTCCATCCTATAGGTCCATCTTGTTTGACTTCTCTCGCACAATAAATAAATGCAGCCACTTTCCTAAAAACTGCATTTGCATTTGACCAAATGCTGCTTTCACCATATACCTGGAGTGTATAACTGTCATGACCAGTTAACCACCCAGGAATTAAGACTATTTAAGATAAATAGAAAGGGTTTCTCTCCTGAATCTCTGCAATGTATATGTGGCCATTGGTTCTCCTAACATCACAAAACTTTTATTCAAATTGTGAGTAGATTATATATAAAAAGCTAGGAAGGAGTGCTCATTTTATAATCAAGCTGTCATTAACTTCAGTTACAGCACAATTAGTTACAATGCTCAATGCTGCAAATGGTCTTCAGACTACAGATTGTGGACACAAATAAGCATGAGACCGTTTGAAAGCAGCTGCCTTTTAGTGGGTATCGAATTGAGTCTAAATAGTGTTGGCTATTGGACCCAAAGTCCGCCTGTGCCTATTGATTACCTGCACCACAAATGACAGCATAAATAATATTCCACCTGTTACATCAAATATTAGCAGTTTGCCACATGCAGGACTCTGATCTAGGCAATACACACCAACAACTATATAACTATATCCTCAAGCCCTGCTAACCAGGCACCAATTAATGACGCCAAATACCCACGCTATACTCAGTTCAGATACGATTTTATCTATCACACCATATATACACTGTGAATTCTGAATTTACTTATATCATTAGGTTATTTGGTGTCCTTTTGGAGTCTCCAAGTATCATTTTTTGGAAAGACACCTAAATTTGACTTGAAAAAAGCTCACAGAAAATACAGTTCATCCTACAGTCACCCTTCAATCTGATGGCCTACTTTGCTGGATATAGAAAATGATGACACAATAATGTGTTAAAGGTACAATATGTAAGATTTTTTTATTAAAATATCCAAAAACCACTAGAACAGTGTTACATATTTTGCTGACTTGTGTACTTACATTATCCCAAATGTTTCGAAGAATGTTCAAATCCAGAGAAATAAGCAATTTTAACTAGTGACACGGACCGTTTCCATAGTGTCATTGTGTCGCCTGTCAATGACATCATAACCCCTCGATTTCCGGTTTTGTAGAAAACATGGAAACACCAAAAACGCTTTAATATGTTGTGCGTTTTAATAGAACGTTGACGACCGCACAGAGTAGCATTATAACAGAACTTTCAAATGTATCTAGTATGATAAAACAGCACTGCTTTTCCCCCCCCACATACGCACGACCGGAAGAAGCGGAAGCGGTCGACTGTGGCATAATAAAAGCGCCGCTGCTTTCGAGTCGTGTGTCGCGCTCGTTCAGCAGCTTCATTTCACTTCGACGGCTTTCAGCCTCACCCTGCTTCATTCTACCATGTTAATAAATCATTAGCTCATGCTCATCCATGAACATGATTTCTGCCCAAGTCCCGTCGGATTGCATCGGCTGTGGGGATGAAGACCACAACTCCCATGATTCCACACTCAGTCACGGCATCATCAAACTACGCCTTTGTCTATTTGTTTATTTTCAATACGTGCCCTCTAGCGGCAAAAATTACATATTGTGCCTTTAAATAAGATAAATGGCTTAATTTCACAATGAGTGTGCAATTAATCTACTGACAGCCCTAATAAAAATATTAAATAAATAAGTTATGAAACTTTACCCTCAGCCAAAACTATTTGCTCTGGAACAAGAACAAAAATTCTTACTGACCCCAAACTCTTGAACAGTAGTGTAAAATGTTACAAAAGCTTTCTATTCTGATAAATGCTGTTCTTTTGCCATTTCTATTCATCAAAGAATCCCCAAAACTGCACAAATGTTTTCAACATTGATCATATTCAGAAATGTTTCTCGAGCAGCAAATCAGCATATTAGAATGATTTCTGAAGATCATGTGACACTGAAGACTGGAGTAATGATGCTGAAAATACAGCTTTTCCAACATAGGAATAAACTGCATTTTAAAATATATTTAAATAGTTATTTTAAATTGTAAAAATATTTCAGAATATTACTGTATTTGCTGTATTTTGGATCATGTGGTTTTGTTGAGCAGAAGAGACAGCGAATCGCAAGAGGAAGAGGAAGAAGATCAGTACAAAGTTAGACCCCTAATAATAATAGGAATAATAATATTCTCAGGAGAACTCTGGCCTAAAAGCCTTCCATTAAGGAGCGCACAGAACAGCGCAGCGGTAATTGCTCCTCCGGTCCAGCGGGGGGCAGTGCGCGTGAGTGAGAGCAGCGAGGATCGCGGAGACTGCGCCGGCTGAGAGTTAGGAAACGTGGCCTTGAGAGAGATTCCAGCTCAGCTCAATGAGAAGCGCACTCAGCGGACACTCTCAGCGAATCTGTATTTCAGGCTCGCAGTGTTTAAAGGCGCGGAAACATGGCTGATGTGGAGCAGAACGCAGCCGGTAACGGGTCGGATGCGGTGAACGGGACCGCGGGCCGCTTCGTGTCCAGCGCCGAGGGTATCGCGCTGGCGTACGGCAGCCTGCTGCTCATGGCCCTGCTGCCCATCTTCTTCGGAGCGCTCAAGTCCGTGGGCTGCTCCAAGAGCAAGGTAAACTCGCTTTCATATGACTTGCAGTCAGTGTGGAAGACTGTGCGAAGACAGAATACAAGCCTCCAGAGTGTTAAATCTCCGTGCTGGCGCTGTAAGCCAACATCAGTGTGTTAGTCAGGAGTCATCGGAGAAGTCTATGCAGGCCTGTCATAGTGCCACATGTTACCTAATACATGGTCTGTTTAACATTAATAACTGCATCCACTGATATGTTTTATGTATGCTTACTGGACACGTTGTCAATATGTACTTACCAGTGTAATTATGTAATTCGCTGTGTTTTGTTCCTTCTGAAGCGATATGAAAGCTGTGTGAGAAATAGACACAAGTTTTAAAATCTTTCTTTATGCTGCCACGCTCAAAAGTTACATCTTATTTGCAGATTAAGCATTTATTATATTACAAGACACGTGAGAACCGTGTTTGACTGCGCTGAGGTTTTATAACATTCATAACTTAACAACATCAGTTCAGGGTTTGAAAGAGGGTCATTCCTGTCAACTCAACCGGAAGTTTTGATCTTGTCATTTTTTTTTTCCTAAGGAAAGATAAACATGTATAGTAATGAAAATGTTAAATATTACATTGCATGGATGAATGTTTACTGAGTAATCCACTATTTTGTAAAGGGGGGACAGATTCTGGCTCAATTCAGGGTGGTAAAATTACTTTAGAAAGATGGCAGCATGATTTTATTTTATTTGACTTTTTTCACAGGTAGGTCTATTAGTAAAATCTGTTGACTTCATCTATCTTTGTTGCATTATATGCTAGTGGCGGCTGTTTAAAAATGGGGAAGAAGCACTTTAAGCACTTCTTCAAAGTTTGCATGCCTGTAACACAAGAGGTAGTAAAGATATCTCCATATCATTTTAAATTCCTTTCTTAATGCACATTTTTAAAACTGTGTTCTTCATTTTTAAGGACGATATGGTTCAGTCCCAGAGACATTAGGAGCACAGTGCGACTCAATGTCCAGTGTGTTGAATTTGACTCATTTTCTGTGGTTGAAAACCAAATGCGGTAACTTACAGCTAATACTTATTGTATTCAAAGAACAGTGGATAACACTTTATTTTGATAGTCCGTTCTACTAACAGTAAGTAACTTTAACTACATGTCAACTATCAGTCATTAGAGTGTTAGTAGACTGTCTGCTTAATATCTTCTAACACTTTATTTTGATGGGTCCACAACATACAACATACTGACTATGAGAAACTTTAACAAATTAATGAGAATTAGTTGACATGTCGTTGCAAAGTTACTTATAGTTAGTAGAATGTCTAAAGTGGACTATCAAAATAAAGTGTAACTGAACAATGTCTGAAGAACAAATAATATTATAAGTAAAAATGTATGTATGTAAATGTGATGAAATGTAGCAATTCCTATTCAAGGGAGCGCTGCAGAACCCTCCCATTTCCTAATTAAACATGCAGGGTTCTATACACTTTTTAAAATTTATTTCTAGCACTTGTACATTACACTGCACTTACAAATTGCATAAATAATGTTATGAGATTAATGTTTTAAATATAAAAACGGCTATATAGAAATTAAAATGCTAGAAAAAAAATTGAATACTTTTAAATGTGAAACTAAAATTACCAGTAGGTGGCGGCAAACTACTGTCCTAATAAGTGAGTCACTGAGTCATTTATTCACTAAGTTCACTAAGGGGGCTTTCACACCTGTAGATCCATTGCTTTGTTCCGAAACAGGGATTCAAATTATTACAATGTTGCTTTTTATTCTTAGTGCGGTTCGCTTTCACACGGCAAAGTTTCTAAACGGACCAAATTTGTTAATACAAGTCACGCGTGAGTAAACTTTTCTCATTGGTCAAAGTTCCACGGTTTATTTTCCGGGATTCCACTTAGCTGTCATTCATCAGGATGCGACGATAACAGCTTCGTGGGCTTATTGTTGTTTTTTTTTTGTTGTTGTAGCTGTTCTTATATTAATTTATCATTTTGAGCAGGAGTCCAGGATTCATCGAGAAAATTTTTTTAAAATGCACCTACTAGGAAGAGCAATAAGACGGCATTATAAAATGAAAAAGTGCGCTTTTTTATTTTGAATGGCGAAGAAGACGTGCTCACCCACAGACATTCACAGGTTCATTTTGAGGTATTAGCAAAACAACAAAGCTAATGCTTTTCACAGAACTTACGTAATTACCCATTATACATTGTGATATAGCCTGGTTCGTTGGTCCGTTAGATCGGATTGCTTTCTCACTACAACCGAACCGCTCCAGAGTTCGTTTTCAATCGAGCCGAGACCACCTCGTTCAGGCGATCTCGGACCGATTGTTTTGGCGCGGATCCGAGCGCGATTGCCGTGTTCACATATGCCCAAACGAACCGAGCTAAGGGGGGAAACGCTTCATTATTTGTAAACGCACACTTTATTGCGCTTTCCGCAGGCATTGGCGATATATAGGCTACTATATAGGGTACAACAGGGCTAAATGTGCCCCGGGGTAAAAGGCGCCTTTGCTATTATTT